CCCGCCCGGGACGAGCGCCGCGGGGCCGAGCAGGGCGGACCGGACGCGGAGCGGGGCCAAGACCCAGCACAAAAGCCCCCGGAGCAGAACTACGGCCTGAGCGGGGAGCCCGCACCAACCCCAGCCCACACACTGGCGGCCAACGGAGAGCTCCCTGCTTCGCCCGCGCCCCAAGAACGCGCGCCGCCATTGGCCGCTGGCGGGAGGAAGCGCCGCGCTGATTGGCCGGGCGGCTCGCGCGGGTTCCATCAGCCGCGGCGCCGAGCGAGGGGTTGTAGACACGCAGTTTAAAAGCCGCTCGGGCGGGAGCGGTGGCGCCTGGCCTGTTTTTGCTTCCCCTCTTTCCGCCCTTCCCCGCAGATGTTGATAAGGGACTGGCTGTGCTGTTTTGTGCCCCGTTTCCTCTCCCTCCCCTTGTTTGGGAAGCAGCCTTGCGCCCTGGGGTCCGCTACCTCCGAGCGGGCCGAGCGCCAGGCCGCCGCGGGGACCCCTGGCAGGGCCTCTCCTGTCCCCGGACTCGGGCGCTAGAAGAATCGCCGCGGGCCTGGCCTCCCCGGCCGCCCCCACGGGGAAGCGGGGAATGGCCCGATCCGCGGGCGCTCTAGTTCCCCGATCTGATCCACTGGGGAGCGGCGCGGGGCGCGGGGCTCGGGGAGCCCGGTGCCCCCTCTGCTCGCCAACGCTTCTTTTGTTCCCGGTGTTCGAGAAAAGCCAGACCTCTGCTGCTGGGCACTTTTCAGTGTCCTTGAATCTGTGACAACACTGCGTTCTTGTCGTTTTTTTACCCTAGAGGCTGGGGGATTTCTAAATGATTTCCCAGTTAGTAGTTCCCGGGAGCTTCGGGCAAATCTGTGTGTACATTTGTCAGAATCGGTCCCTGGGTGAGAGCCCCAGTGTTTGTTACTGTAACAAAGTGGAACGCGGGGTTTAGGAACGCCTTCGCGGGCAAAGCAACTGAGCCCGTGCTTGCTGGATTCTAATTTCAGCGGAAGCCTAGTGACCTATAATTAGGCCGGGAACGCTAATCAAACTCGTGTTGCTGATGGAAATTAAAACCTGGTAGAGTCTCAGAAATAGACTATAATTAAAATGTCTTCCTGAAAATAAGCATCATCTATACCAATGGACACATTTTAAAAATACACGTGTTTGTGTGTGTGTGTGTGTGCACTCGTGCGTGTGTATGTTTCAAGATGCCATTTTTTTTTTTTTCCTTTTTACCAGAAGAGAAAGCTCACTTCAGAGTTAGGGTGTCTTAATCATCTCCCCAGATTTTGAACTCCCAACTATGCTTTACAAACTGCTTTAAATTTTATAAAACAATGTTTACCTGATTTTTACATAGTTAAATTGGAATAAATGTAAAACTAATGATTTCACTAAAAATGTTTACATTTGAAGAAACGTTCTTTGAAAGATTATTGTCCATGAGGCAATTATTTAGAATATTGATTCTAAAAAAAAAAATCTCAGCATTCACATATATTTAAGCAGTAGTATTGGTAACGCAAACTGAAAGCTGTGGTTTAGTTAGCAAGTTGTTCTATAGATTTTTATGATGCCTTGAAAAAGTTGCCTCCTCTCTCTGTCTGCCTCTGTGCCTCTCTCGCCATCTGTCTCACCAAGGGCTTCCCTAAGCACATACGTAGATGTTTTTATTTTCAGGAAACTGAGCTCAGAGACAAAGGACCATGATTTGCGCAAATATGTGTGGGTTGTTGCGATCTGCAGTCTACTTATTTTTCTCGTACAGTCTCAAATCATACTATACTGTTTGGGCAGAACAACGAAGTCTCAAGCTTTATCTGGCCAAGCCCATGAGCAGGGGGCCACGATCCATTTGAATTACCCAGGCTTTGTCTCTAGTATGAACAGGTAGGTTTTGCTGCACCGACTGACACGGTTCAGAATTGCCAGGGCTGGGCTGGATCTGAACAAGGTAGAGTAGGAGGCAGGCCTCCAGACTGGGGCAGCTGGCCCCAAACGGATCTTCAGAGGGGAGGGATCACTGGTATTTGAAGATAACATTCTCTCACTGAAGTTTGGTCAAAGTAAAAGGCTGGAGTCTCGGTGAGTTGCCTGGAGATAGTGCATGGGAACTGTTTTCATTTTGTTTCGTTTTTACAGGGCTTTTGCACTAAAAAAATTTTCAGGTAGCTTAAACCTTAGAACAATAACTCAGCTCATCCTACTTTTCCCCCCACAAATAAAATTTTAAAAACAACTTTTTTTTTTTTTTTTTTAGAAATTCACCTGTTGAATCTGAAAGTTGTGGTAAATTTGGGGTTGAACCCAGGGCCTCATAAATGCCAAGAAAGCTCTCCACTACTGAGCTGCATATATCCTCAACCCCTTTTTTAAAAAAAATTTGAGATGGTCTCGCTAAATTGCCCAGGCTGGCCTGGAACTTTCGGTCCTCCTACCTCAGCCTCCTGGAATATCGGGGATTATGGGTGTTCACCATCTGTCTTCAGCCTTGAAAGTTGTTTTATTTTAAAATTTAAAAATTTTTGTTTCTGGTACTGGGGATTGAACCCAGGACCTTCACACTGAGCTGCATTGCCAACCCTTTTTCTTTATTTTGTTTGGAAAGGGTCTCACTAAATCACTAGATCCTCCAGGCTAGATTCATACTTGGGATGCTCCTGCCTCATCCTCTCGGGTATGAGATAGGATCTTGCTAAATTGTTCAGACTGGCTTTGAATTTGTAATCTTCCTGCTTCAGCTTCCCAAGTGGCTGGGATTACAAGTGTATACCACCATACCCAACAACTACTAGCCTTTCTTTCCAGCTAATTTATCTTGCCTAGGTATGATTTTTACCCCATTAACCTCAACACCTTGTGAAAGTTGTGTTTTTGGCCAGGCGTGGTGGCGCACACCTGTAGTCCTAGCACTCGGGAGGCTAAGGTAGGAGGACCTTTGAGAGTTTGAGGTCAATCTGGGCTACAAAGTGAGCTCAAGTCCGGCTTGAACTGCATAGCGAGACCCTGTCTCAAAAAGACCAAAAGAAAAAATAAAAGTTGTGGTTTTTTGTTCTGAGTTCTTTTTTGCTTTGTTTTCAGTACTAAGGTTTGAATCTTGGGCCTTCTCACTGAGATACACCCTCACATCCCCCCTCTACCTTTTTTTTTTTTTTTTTTTTTTTTTTGGTCTTTTTTGAGAAAGGGTCTCGCTGTGCCGTTCAGGCTGGCCTTGAGCTCACTCTGTAGCTCAGGTTGGCCTCGAAGTCACAATGATCCTCCTGCATCAGCCTCCCAAAGGCTGGGATTACAGGCGTGCTCCACCACACCTGGCTCCCCCCTCTACCTTTTATTTTACTTTTTATTTTGTGAGCCAGAGTCTCACTGAATTGCTAAATTGTCCAGGCTGGTATTGAACTTGAGATCCTCCTGACTCAGCTTCCCAGACTGCTGGGATTACAGGTGTGTATCCCTACACCCCGCTTTTAAAACTCTGTTATCTGGCTTCTGCCATCATACAATCCATTTCCAATTCACTAAAACTGCTGGAGAAAAAGCATGGAACCAGTTGACTGGCTTAATTCGTGACTTTGGTCCTCAAAGGAGGACACACTGCTAGCGGGCGAAGCCATTCCATTCTCTGGTCTAGTTCCTTCCCACCCTTGTGTGATCACATTCCTGTTCTCCACTTCCCAACTTCCAGCAGGACCTGGCCCCAGGCTTGAAAACACAGAATCCATCTAGTGGGATCGAGTCCACTTCAGACTGTCAAATCTGCGCTCATTTTCTCTGATGTCTTCCTTTTTTCAGTAGATTTGTCCTAGGAGAAGTACCTTTTTAGTGATACAGCAACCATTGTTAATTTCTTTTCACCTCGTCTGAAATTCTGCATTGTTTTTATGTTGTTTCATTTATGTCTGCGTGTTTGTTAATATGTTTTGGTTCTTTTATCTCTAAAAATAAAATTTAAAAAAAAAAAGTACCTTTTTCACCGGGGGTCATGGCACATAGCTACACTTCTAGCAGTCTGGGAGGCCGAGTCAGGAGAATCTCAAGATTGAGCCCAACTGGGCAATTTAGTGACTTAGTGCCCAGTACTACAAAGGAATGAATGAATGATTCATGCAATCATTCATTCACTTACCGTACTCTGGATCCTACCTTTCTGTCCTCAAAGACTTGATTCTTTTGATTGTGTTTTTTATGCATTGACAATCCTTATAGAACATTCTGACCAGAGTCAGAATAGTAAGCTTTAAAAAAAAATTCATTTCCCTGTGAAATTTTCTAAATTAAAAAGAAAAGCCTTGGTGTTTTATTCATCTAATATAAAAAATTATAATCCTTAAAACACCACTTTTTTTTTTTTTCTTCAGTGCTAGGGCTTAAACCCAAGGCCTTTGCATTGAGCTACAACCCTAGCCCTTTGTTTAAAAACTTTATGTTTGAAAGAGAGTCCTGCTAAAAATCACTAAGTACCCACCCTACACCTGAGTTTGTGACCCTCCTACTTCAGCCTCCTTAGAGTGCTGAGATTATAGGCACACGCCAGTGTCTAGCTCTGAAAATAGTCACAGTATCGATGCTTGGGACCTTGAGAAACAATGGAAAGGTATTTCTGGGCGAAGGCAAAGCTTCATTGCAAGTATTTTCTATAGCTTTTTTATTTTTGTGGTGCTGGGAATTGAACCCAGGGCACTAAACATGCTAAGCGACTGCTTTACCACTGAGCTAAACCCCTGCATCCCTTGTCTGTGTGACTGTGTAAAATCACTTGGGGAACTACTTCCATTTCCACGTTAACATACAGCTGACTGTTTTGTTTTTTTATTATCCTGTTTTAAATGGAATTGGTTGTGAGTTTCCCTTAAACAAAGCAGAATAAGTTACATTTAAAATGATGCCACAGATTGAGAGAAGACAAAAATCTTAAGAAATGTTGGTTCCCCTTAGCTATTTCTGAAAATTTATTCTAAAGGAATAATCAAATGTGAAGTTTATTTTTAGGATACTTATTGCTTCATCATTTATAATGGTAAAAAAAATCTAAGCCTCCAACAATAAGAAACTGGTTTAATAACTTAGATGTCTCTGTGCAATGAGATATGACAGGGCCATAAAATTCAAGTTTCTGACATTTAAGAATAATGAGAAAGGGCTGGAGATCTAGCTCAGCGGTAAAGCGCCTTCCTGGCAAGTGCAAGGTCATGAGTTTGATTCCTGGTACCGGAAGAAAAACAAACAAACAAACAAAACCAAAGAATAATGAGAAAATGTTCTCCACATACCGTTAAGTAAAAAATAGGAAGCCCAGCGTGGTGGCACACACCTGTAACCTCAGCTGAGGCAGGAGGATCACTGCAAGTTTGAGGCCAGCTACAAAATGAGTTCAAAGCCTTGCCTGAACTGCACAGTAAGAGCCAGTCTCCAAAAGACAAAAAAAAAGAAAAAAAAAAGGACAAAGATCTCAGTCCTATATACTAAGAGTACATATGTATATTTGTAATATACACAAAGAAAATAAGAAATTACATTGGCTAAAATATTTGTAGTAATTTCCCCTGGGTAGTGGAGCACAGGTGATTTTTATTTTCTCATTGTATTTCAATATTCTCCAAGATTTCTTCCATGAACATATATGAATTTATAACAATAAATATTTTTCTTTTTAGTGTGAGCAACTGAGAGACCTGTCAGCTTACCAGAATTCAAAATCCATCTTTCAATCTGCACAGCCAAAAGCTCCATTTTATCAACTCATCAAGAGTACATGTCTTGGATAATTGATTCAAAATAATATCAAGAGGGGCTGGGAATTTAGCTCAGCAGCACAGCGCCTGCCTGGCAAGCGCAAGGTTGTGAGTTTGATTCACGGTACCAGAAAAAAAAACAAAAAACAAAAACAAAAAAATAATAATCTCAAGAGAAGGGCAGATTATTAGTCAGGTGAAATAGATGTGTAGGGTATTCTCTACTGGTGGGTAAATCCCCTTGCAAGAATAAATGACACATTGGAAAATGTTTAGTGACACAGAGCAAAGCCACAGAGCTATTAAATGTCACGACTTGGAGATTCAGACATGGATCTGTCCATTCCATGGCCTCTGTCTGTACACCATCCCTGTATAGTTTCTGTGGATTATGTTAAATTGAAAAGTCACATTTTAGGTCACTTCAAAGTCATAGCAAATCAACAGATGGGCCATTCTAAGAAACTACAAGTGACCAGCCCTGGGAAATAAGCTGGCATCTGTGAAGTGAGAATTTTAGGGCAATAATAGTGTTCACAGTGTCATGAACATATACTTCTTTACAGCTTAGAAATAATTTTGATGTATCTTGTCACACTTGATCCTTCTAACCCGTGAGGTACGTAGGACCATCATTTTGTCCTACTTTATAGGCCAGAGGCTTTCATTTCAACTTTACTTGCATGAAAAACATTTGGAAGGTTTGTGGCTGGGCCTCATTCTTGGAGGTTTCTGAGTGTGTAGATCGGGGGCAGGACCTGAATATGTATTTGCATTTCCAGCTTGCGATCTCTAATAGCACTGGACTGTTTAAAAATATTCTTTGCAAAGCCAGATCTGATTTTTGACACAGTCGTGAAGCATAGCTCTGCGTCATCCTTAGAATAAAATCTAAATACCTTGGAATGGTACAGGATCCTCCGTTCATCTTGGTCCCCTTCCCATTTGCAAAAGATCTATTTCCCATTTCTTATTATGTATCTTTCATTTTGCTCTTTATGCTTTGAGTTTCTTGTATAGGAAAAAATCATACAATATTTTAAGCTTGTGTGTCTGATTTATTTCACTTAACACTACGGTCTCAAGGTACATCTGTTTTCCTATAAAGGATTCAAGTTTAGTTTTCTTTATGGCAGAGTAGTACTCCATTGTGTGTAAATACCACGTTTACTTTATCCATTCAGCTGTGACGGATCTATAGACTGCTTTCAAGATTTAGCTGTTGTGTTGGTTTGGGACTTATTTTGCAAGGGGAACAATATAATACAGGACACATACTTCATATGATTATTTATAATAGTCACCCAAAGAACAGTATGCAAAAGAGTGCAGGAAATCTGTCCACACACTAAGACCAAGGAATCCAGCTGAGGGCCTGGATCCCACAACAACGTCTTACATGAGTTGAGCTGAATACCCAGAGCTCATAACAATGCCTCCTGAATCCAACTGGAGGCCCAGAACTCATGACAATGTCTCATGCAGACCTGTTTCACGGATCTGCTAGGAAGGCCCAAAGGTCAGTGGTGGAATCTACAAAGTCTGTGCCAGCAGGATGAAGGACCTGTGCTAGCAGGCTGAGGGATCTGCACTGGAGCCAGGAATTGATGCTCAGAAGAACCAGAGCTCCCCCAAAAGGTACCAGAGCCATCGTCGGCAACAGTGAGGTCCCGAGCTCCTCCGATGATCAGGATGGCCGAGTTCCGATCAGGGAAGCCAACACAGCAAGCTTTTCCTGGAGGCCGGCAGTGCACCATCTTCCCCTCTGGAACCAGGAACCTACGCTCAAAGTGAGGACCAGAGCTCTCTAAAGTGAACCGAAGCCATTCTCAGTGCCAGCGAGGTCCCGAGCTCCTTGGAGGATGAAAACAGCCAAGTTCATCAGGAAAGCCAGCTCCCCACAGCCTTTCTCAGCTCCCAACAGCCCGCCTCTTCTCCAGGTCTGCCTCTTATGATGCTGGCAACAGTTCTCAGGTGGGCCTCCCACACCCAGCACCACACTTACTCAGTTCAGCTGGGGGTTATAAGTTGACCACCAGTTATCAACCCATAACAGCTGTTGTGAGTTATGCTGGTATAACATGGGTGTGCATGTTGATTGCAATAATATGATGCCACTAACCCTTTAGGGAAGGTACCCTGGAAGGGGAATAGCTAGGTTGAAGGGAATTTCCATTTTGAGTTTTGTTGTTTTTAATCACTACGTGTTTTTATACAAAAGTGGTGTCTTAAAAAAAAAAAAAGGAAAAAAGGGGCTGGGGATTTAGCTCAGCGGCAAAGCGCCTGCCTGGCAAGCACAAGGTCGTGAGTTCGGTTCCTGGTACCGGAGAAAAACCAAAAAAATAAAACAAAACAAAAAACAAAAGTGGTGTCTTCTTTTTCTTTTTAAAACACTGAGATATGGGCAAGAATGCAAGCAAATAATAAAGGAGATACTTTTATGACATTAGATTTTCAGTTGAGAAAGAGAAAGAAATTGACAAAGCCATTCCAACGGAACAGAAAAGTCCAAAGATGAAAGGTTGTTTCCTTTTTTTTTTTTTTAGACAGGATTTTACTATGTAGTCCAAAGCTGGCCTTGAATTCACTATGTAGCCCAGATTGCCCTTAAACTCATGGTGGTCCTTCTGCCTCAGCCCCCTGCGTGCTGGATTACAGGTGTATGTTGCCATGCCTGGCAAAATGAAATTTTTTCATTTTCTTCTCTAGAGGCTTATAACCACCCCTATCCACTGACTCTATTCCTCTTGTGTCCAGTAGAACCACGTTACTCTTTACTGAGTTATTCTATAGCTCACTATTATAGAGAGAGCAGGTGGGATTCTGGGTACACAATCTAAGAGGAAGACAGAAGCATCAGAGGATTAAAAACCATCTCCAGAGAAACATGAGCAAGAGCCTTCCCTGAGCCTGCAGCAGGGACAGGTGCTACGGCAGCATCTGCACCCCAAGCAGAGGACTGCAGAGCCTTCCAGGCCCCACCTCCACTTCTGTCCCCTTTCCAGAAGTTGGAAATTAGGGAAAAAAACAAAAGCATATGCTGGTAAGAGAAGTGCAATATATGTTTAGAAATACTATAGAGGGAAGCAGGAGATAACAACAGCTTTACCAACTTTTGCCACAAATGGGAAGAAAGAGCCATTGAGGAAATCCCACCACCAAGTAACATACTGCCCTGTTTTCCCTGGAGCACAGGAGGGCAGTTCTGACTCGACTTTTCAACAGCCTGGATTGCTGGATTAGGTCTCTCGGTTCCTATAGATTGATAACCACAAGACCAGCATCCAAGGCCCAATTCCAGCTATCACACGACCCCAACACAAATAATCATGTGATGGTGGCTTACAGTTCTGTAATTGGGAAGTTTCACTTTTTTCCTATCCTAGTCCAAAGTCTAGAACATCTCCAGGTGCAGATCAAATGCAACCCAAGTACTCACTGCAAAGCAGTTCCAAGCAGTGAGAAATTACAACCAGATTCTCATGGAGTCTACTGGAAAGTAGAGTTAGAGCACAAAAGCCATCAAGCCAGTATAAATAATGTCTCTTTGTTTTTTTTTAGTTAAAGAAATCCCATGTCTCAAAAACTCATGAAAATGTGTTTTTTTTTTTTTAAAAAAGGAAAGGGCCAGAGATCCTTTGGCCCACTTTAATTGTCGTACCTCTACCTTCTGATAGCTAGAGATGGCGAAGCAGCCTTGTTTCACAGGCCCGGTTATCTCTTTCTTCTAACTGTACCTCTCTAGAAGACAAAATAGGGCACAAAGGGAGGGCAGTCTAGTGAGAAGAGCATGCAAACCAAAAGCAAACTGGAAAGCAAGGATGATACTAACGGCAAGATGAAGTTGGAGTGCAGAGTGAGAACTCTGGCTGAGTACGCTTGGGTTTGGGGGATCGGATCAATGAGACTGGACCTTAAAGTTCAGTCACACTGGTAATAAACCATCACCCTCTCTGGGACTCCTCCCCCATCTGGTCATCTCCTACAACACGGGATGCAGGCAGCAGGCACACACGGTCACAGCCATCTGCTACCAGGTTGCCAAGATCCGGCCAGAAGACTAAGGAGAAAGCGCTCCATTCCTCTGGCGCCCATCATCAGTCACTGGTATAAAAAGCTAGCAGCCAGCAACACCAATGTGACGAGTCACACAGACCCTGCACCGACGTGGGAGACCTCTGGGGAGCAGGCTACGCCAACACGAGTCTCAGAGCGGCAGAAACGCTCTTGGACTTGGCCCAGCCTCTCACCCTGCCCAGCAGCATGCGTTGACTGCGGGAGATGCTGCTCCCTATCACAGTGGTCATCGTCTTCGTCACCTGCTTCGAAGATCAGCGTGATGCAATTACTTCCGCTGAAGTTGGGGGTCTTGCTGCGGCTCCCCACCTCGCTCTCTCCCCCGTTACTCTTTGCATCAGGCCCGCTCCGGGGGTGTGTTTGCCAGTTTCCGGGGACACCCTGGAAATGTACAGATACGGGTCAGAGCCCTAGCCCACAGGACCCTCAAAACTTTTGTGAAATAGTAGTTTCGGCCTCACCAGTAGAGCCTGACTTTTCTCTGACTCTTTACTCTTTTCTCCTAGGAAGTCCCACATTTCCTCTTCTGTCTGCGGGAACTCACTCAGGGCCACCTGCAGCAGTGGCAGCAGCAGCCCGTCAGTCCTTCAGCAGCTGTAGGAGGAGAACTCTGTCACGGGCAAACAGAAAGGCCAAAGCTCAGAACCACTGGCCAGTATCCCGCGGTTGGGAGACAGCAGCCAGGGGCCAGCTGCAGACCCTGGCCCCAGAGCTTGTGTCAGAGGCCGGTGCCTCGCTGCGCCCCACCTCTATTTTAGCTTTTTGAGGACTATCGGTGATGATGGTACTAGCTCGCATTCCCACCAACAGTGTGGAAGGGTTCCTTTCCACCCCCGCCCCCCCCCCCGGGGCCTCACCAGCATTTGTTATTATTTGATTTCCTGAGGATGGTTATTCTTTCTGGAGAAAGGTAGAATTTTAGTGTTTTAATATAAATTCCTCTAATGACGAAAGATAGCAATCATTTCTTCATGTAGTTATTGGCCATTTGTACTTCTTCTGAGCAGTGTCTGTTCATTTCACTTGCCCGTCTTTGAATTGGGGAGTCTTTATATATTCTAGATGTTAGTCCTCCATCTGTGGAATAGATGTCAAAATTTTTTTCCCATTCTGTAGGCTGTCTCTTTACTCTGTTGGTTGTTTCCTTTGTTGTGCTTTTAATTTGATATCATCCTATTTGTTAATCCTTAGTATTCTTTTGTACAACTGGGGTTCTGTTTATAAAGTCCTCACCTAAGCCCATTTCAAGAGTTTTACCTATTTTATCTTCCAGCAGATCAAGTGTCTGTGTTTTAACAGAGGTCTTTGATTCATTTTCGTTTTAGTTTAGTACATAGTTGTAGTGGATTGACAACTGGTGGTCAACTGAACTGAGTAAGCATAGTGCTGGGTGTGGGAGGCCCACCTGGGGATTGTTCCCAGCAGCACAAGACGCAGAACTGGAGGAGGAGGCTGTTGGCAGCTGAAAGAGGCCGTCAGGAGCTGGTGGAAGCTGTAAAGAGCTGTTGGTTCTGTTGGAGGAGCTCATCATGCTGGCTTTCCTGATGAACTTGGCTGTTTTCATCCTCCAAGGAGCTCGGGACTTTGTTATCACTGAGAATGGCCTCGGTTCACTTTGGGGGACCTCTGGTCCTCACTTTGAGCATCGCTTCCTGGCTCTGGAGGGGAAGATGGTGCACAGTTCATTCTCTCGGTGAAGCTTGTCACACTGGCTTTCCTGATGGGAACTCAGCTGTCCTGATCATCAGAGGAGCTCAGGACAGAGCATATGGGATGATATCAAATTAAAATCAGAGGAGCTCACTGTTGCTGAGGTTGGCTGTGGTACTTTTCAGGGGAGCTCTGGTTCTTATTTTGATCATTGCTTCTTGGTTCCAGTGTAGACCCATCAGCCTGCTAGCACAGATCCTTCATCCCACTGGCACAGACTTTCTAGATTCCAGCACTGACCTTTGGGCCTTCCCAGCGCAGATCCATGAAACAGGTCTGCATGAGACATTGTCATGGGCTCTAGGCCTCCAGTTGGATTTGTGGGAGACACTGTTATGGGCTCTAGGTCTTCAGCTGGACTCAGGCAGGCCATTATCGTGGGACTGAGGTCCTCAGCTGGACTTGGTCTTTAGTGTGTGGACAGATTTCCTGCAGTCTTTAGTATATCATTCTTTGGGTGACTATTAGAAATAATCTGGGGGCTGGGGGTTTAGCTCAGCGGCAAAGCGCCTGCCTGGCAAGCGCAAGGTCGTGAGTTCGGTTCCCGGTACCGGAGAAAAACCAAAACCAAAAAAAAAAAAAAAAAAAAAAAAGAAATAATCTTATAAAATAAGTGTCCATTATATTGTTCCCCTTGCAAAATAAGCCCCTAACCACGACAATGGTGAAAGATATAGGTGTAGATTCAATCTTCAGCAGATGGATTGCCAATTTTCCCAGCACTGTTGGTTAGCGGCTGTCTTTCCTCCAGTGTACATACAGCCTTGATGTCTGTGTCCAAATCACGTCAGTCAGCTGGATTGGGAGTCACCCCAACAGCTTCACATTACTCAGTCACCCTTTGAAGGTCTCTCTCCAGATATGACCACATTCTCAGGAACTGGGGGTTAAGAATTCATGGTAAACACTTTGGGGAGACAATTCAGCCCTTCTCAGAAGCTTATCTTCTTTCTTCCCTTTGGCCCCCTTTGGATATTGTTTATATGTCTAACAATATTGCTTTTTCAATCTTTTCTAAAAGAAAGCATGTTATCTTCTTTATATAAAACCATTATTTTTATGATGTAGGCAGAGCAGGTTGTTACGAGCTTATACAACTCAATGCTGAGTCAGTATTAGCTTTTAGCACTCTGGACCACTCTGTATATACTACCTTCATGGCACATATTCCAATACAGTGTAGTATTTGATGGCTTAAAATATATTTGTCTCTGGCTGGGGTGTACCTCAGTTGTACAGCACTTTCCTAGCATGGCGTGGCCTTAGGCTCAGTCCCCAGGGACAAATGGCAGGGTGAAATACATAGATATTTAGATGTCTCCTTGTGCTCCAAAAAAAAAAAAAAAAAAAAGTATTCGATAACTTTCACTTCAAAATACTGAACAGTACAACTCAGGTACTTTCTTAAGGCCTATCCAATAAAATCTTAAAAGATACTTCTTCTCGCCTTGTTACTCATTTTTTGGTGTGTGTGTGTGTGTGTGTAACAAATAATCTGATACACGTCTTTAAGGCACTATTTCCTACTAAGAGACCTGGAGCTTAAAAAACATAAGCTCTCTACCATAAAAGACATTAATCGTTAAAAGTCCTATGTGACTTGTTACCACTCATGAATTGGTGAAAATACCGAAGTTTCATGGCTCTAAAGTCAGTTTGTTTCCATATTTATCATCAAAATTTAAGAGAATCTGTAGTGAGGCACCTGGTAGACCCCCCAGGTCACTAGTCATCTGCGCACCGCCGCATCAACAAAAGTGGGACGTTAGTTACCCGCTGTAAGGTGTTCAGTGTGCACACAGGAAGAGTTAAAGCACGGAAACTACCATGATATTCAGATAGAAAGTTAACTATCATACTTTCAAAAGGCAAATGGCCCAAAACCTGTATTTTTTTTTTAAAGCCTGTACAGCGCAGTCCAGCATACTGTACGTTTGCTGCAAAGGAACACAGCGGCCCAATATGCCTGCTAGTAACAATCCACGCATGATGCACGCTAAGTACCATTAATGACAAAAAACCCCTCATCTTACAGGGTCACACAGTACAAATATTAGCCTTTAAAAAAGTTTAAAAAATGTTTACGAGTACACGCTTGCAGTACGTGCGTACATTCACGGTGGGGAGTGGGTACATAACACATCTTAATTTTTCTTATGGTCCTGCCTTCTCTAAACATCAGCCTCAGGGCTGTTACAATAACTTGGAAGAGGAAGGCTTTTTAAAAAAACATTTACAGGCGTCTTCGAAGAATGGCGGGAACACCGGGAAAGGCTTTCAAAAGGAAAAAGCCATGACCCCGACGTGATTCGAACACGCAGCCTTCTGATCTGGAGTCAGACGCGCTACCGTTGCGCCACGAGGTCCTGCTGGGCTGGGGCTCGCGTGGTTCCTTAGGACTCCGGCACCGCACCGTCGCGTTTCTTCCGGGCGCACCCACCTTTCCGGGGGCTCGCCCCTGCCCTCCAGCCGAGCCGGGGAGCTCCGCTTCTCCCGACAGCTCTCCCCTTGGGCCAGGACCCAAAGAGCTGAGGCGGGAGAGCGGGGTTTCCCGTTTAACCCGGTCCTAGCGTTAAAGGAAACCGGCGCTTCCTCTTCTTTATCTGGCCATTTCCGTTCCTGCCTGCCCCGCCCCGCCCCCGCCCATTGGGGGCGGAGACTCCGTCCTCGTCTCCCCTCCCCCCGCTGGCGCTCGCTGCGGTCGTGACCTCGCGTTGGAATCCTGCGGCGCGCCTCTGCGCACGCGCGGGCTGGTGGCTGGGTGGCGGGCGCGGTGCGTTTGTATCCTCCCTTCCGGCCCCTGGTGCCAGTAACATAAAGCATTTTCTCTCAGAGCGGGCTAAGCGTGAATGAGAGCGGTACGCCATAGGAAAACGTGTACATTTCTAAAGATGTAGTTTTTGTGATGAACCACTCAAAAACTAACCTTGGGGTTGTAAAAATATAGACGCCTCCCCGTCGGGGAATTGAACCCCGGTCTCCCGCGTGACAGGCGGGGATACTAACCACTATACTAACGAGGAGCTGTGTACTGCTTTTCTCCCAGGTGTCTTTTGGAGAGCTAGCTATCTTCCGGCTCTGCTCCCCGACGACACGGATCCTTGCTTGTTACTCTAAGAACCTTAGATTCTTTTTTTTTTTTTGAATGAATAAATGATTGCGAGTAAGTGAAAGCCCGCTTCCCATTTTTGTGTGGGTGACTAGGATGGAAATAGTGCCCCAGGGCTCTTTACAAGGCGTCCCACGTGTCTTTATGAGTTTTTTTTTGTTGGATTTCGTGCGCGCTGAAGGCGAGGGTCGCCCTCAGCCGCCGACCCTGTCCTTGGGAAGCTGGGGTTCGGGGTGGGCGGAGCCTGGGTGGTGCCCGGCCCCCGGGGAGCCTCTGTCACCCGCTGGGCCCCAGCGGCTGCCCGGGCACAAAGCGAGGGCAGATGCTCAGCTAGACGCTGCATTTAAACAGCGCAGTGGGAAGACCCTGCGCTGAAGTAACCCCGGGCAGGGCCGGGCCGGCGAGGCCGGGGCAGCCCGGGAGGCTCGGGGCTCCGTGTGTCCTTCCAAGCCTCGCCGCAGGAGGGGCCGAGCCTGCCCCGGGGGCCAGGGCCTCCCGCCCCAGGCCTTTTCCTTTTCCTACAGCCTGCACTCCTAGCATCCCATTATCTCGGAGTAGGACCGCGCGGCTTTATTCTTCAAGGCTACCATCATCTTTCCGCTCCTGATCATGCATGTAAAATCCGTGATACAGACCATTATAAACAGATAGCACACGTTGAACCAGAACTCTTTGTAAAAAAATGTTTATTTGTATCAGTATGTGTTTGCAATCTATACCGATTACATTCATTGTGGGGAGTAGGTACATGTCTGTAACACATCTTTTCTGTTTGTTTGTTTGCCAGCAGCGGACTGATTTCTTTATGTTTAAGTCTTTATCATGTTAATTATCATAAATACAGATTAACAGCCAGACTAACAGACCAAAGGACATATAAAACGCATAAAGCAATTGTACTACATCAAAGTGAGCTTTTATCTTTTTTTTTTTTTTTTTTTTTTTTTTTTTTTTGAGACAGGGTCTCGCTATATAATCCGCGCTGGCCTTGAACTCAGTATGTAGCCCAGCCTGGCTTTAAACTCATGAGATCCTCCTGCCTCAGCCTCCTGAGTGCTGGGATCTAAGGCATGTGCCACCATGCCCGGTTGAGGTAGATTTTTAGATGTACTGGCCATGCTGGATTACAGTAGCTTTCTCTCTCTCTCCCTTTTTTTCTATTGAACTAGAACTCTTTTAAGTTTTAAATTTTGCTTTGACTGTTTCTCTAAATAAGTGTATTTGTTTAGCTGGAGCCAAGTTGTCATGACTGAAAGAATTCTTTGTAGAATTTACCTCCCGTGTCTTAGGGAAGCCTTGCTCCCAGTGTGCTAAGAATTAATGCGGCTTTGCTTGCGGTTTTGGTGCCAGGGTTGAACTCAGGGCCTCAAGGATGCTAAGCATGTGCTCTACCGCCGCACCGTAGAACATATGTATTTTTATAGCTCATAGATGACAAGATATTTTTCATCTGTTGAAAGAGCTAACTTGTTAATGCTGACATAAACAAATGGCAATTTCTGAAACACGTTCTCGCATATTTTTCACTCCTAAATATGGCAAAGGCCTCAAAAAATAAAAAAAAAAAAATTTAAAAACCACTTCAGCGTCCTGGATCTTCTTCCACTTTTCAGCATCCAATAATTCTTGTGAAGCCCGACTGGCACCGCGGTAGTTGTAATGATGTCGTTTACCAGGCTAGAGTCTCCCTGGATGGTTTCAGTGCGGTGGGAACTCAGCTCTCCTGCATCACTTGTTTGTGTTCTTTTTCCACACGTGGGAAGAGAGCCTCGACCTTTGTTGCCCCAGAAAGGACAGCAGTCTCTCCCCCCGAGGCCCTGGCAAAGCTCTGCCCGCGCTCGGACACCCTCGTTCCCCCTGCTCTTTTTCCCTCCCCGGGGAACTAAGAAGCCTCCTGAGTCAGCACAGAGAAAGGAGCAGGGCGCCCAGCACCTGCTGTCCCTCTTCCTAAAATGGAAAGGAAGAGAGAGGGTAATTAACCTGGACGGGGCCAGCAGGGGAGGCAGGGATTCCTCCGCGTCAGCACTGGAAGTAAAGGTTAAAAATGTGACTGGTGTGCAGAAGGTGCTGAACTTTCTGTGGCAATGAATGTAACCGAAAGCTTCAAATCGTGCTCTGCCTAAGTAACTGTTCGATAGCTTATCTCAGCTTGGGAAATGACTCACATTCATTTCATCTTAACAGCACTGTGAGGTCAGTAGGGCAAGTGTTTCTATTTTACCGGAGTCTAAAGACAGTCTTGTGAGGGGGCACATAGGTAAGAAGGTAGGAGAGGCCAGGAGTCCTCCACACCTTGACAGTGAGTTCTCTGCAATTACCATCTTGCTGCATAGCTCCGTATATAAATATACTGACAAATATCCTTGGAGAGAAAAACTCTACAACTACATCTTTTATGGCACTTTTTTTTTTTTTTTTTTGAGGCAGGGTCTTGCTATGTAGTTCACGTTGGCCTTGAACTTGCTTATGGGGCCCAGGCTGGCCTTGAACTCACAGCAATCCTCTTGCCTCAGCTTCCCTAACAGCTACATCTTTGACAGCACATTTGTGTCAATTACTGTGACAAATACCTGGGATAAATCAACTTAGGAGTAGGAAAGTTTTATTGTGGTTCGCAGTTTCAAAGGTGGCAGTCGGGGCTGGGGATTTAGCTCAGCGGCAAAAGCGCCTGCCTGGCAAGCGCAAGGTCGTGAGTTCGGTTCCTGGTACCGGAGAAAAATCAAAGGTGGCAGTCCATGGCTGCCTTGGCCTGGTAGCCTTAAAGCCTGTGGGAAGGCAGAACACCATGGCGAGAATTCACAGGAGAGGAAGCCGCTCCCCTCATGGCAGCCAGGAAGCAAAGAGAGAGACGGCAGGACCAGGGTCCCAGTATCCCCTTCTAGGACACACCCCCAATGACCTAACTTCCTTTCAGGAGACCACATCTCCCAAAGGTTCTACCTCTTCCCAACAGCTGCATAAACTGAGGTCCAAGCTCTTAAATAATGGCCCTTTAGAGGACACATCCAAACCATAGCAGTATTGTAACTTTTTTTAATGTGACTCATTCATTCCAACAGGTGTGTACCAACACTTCATTGTGGTTGTAATATGCCTTTCTCTAATAATTAAAAATGTCGATCAGCTTTTCCTGTACCCATTAAAGCATCCAAATCTTTCGCCTACTTTTAAAATTGGCTTGGTATCTTATTATTGAATTTTGAAAGTTTTAAAACATTCCGATAGCCAGGCTTTGCACCAGATTTATGTTTTGCAAAAATATTCCCGAAGCTGTGCCTTGTCTTTTCAACTTCTTAAGGGATTTGTTTGAACCCTACAGGTAGCAAGAAACCATGAAAAAGTTTTAAATAGTGAATACAAAACTTAGTTTTTTTTCTATTGTATTTCTTTTTTCTCTGTTATTCTCATCTGCTCATCTCAACCTTTGAACATAGAAACAAGAACTTTGGCCAGTGTTGTTTGGGTTATTTGTAAGATGAACAATACAATACAGGACATTTCTTTTATAAGATTATTTATAATAGTCACCCAAAGAATCATATACAAGAGAGTGCAGGAAATCTGTCCACACACTAAAGACCAAGAATCTAGCTGAGGGCCTGGATTCCCCAGTAATGTCCTGCATGAGTCCAGCTGAAGACCTAGAGCCCAGAACAATGCCTCCCATGAGTCCACCTGGAGGCCCAGAGCCCATAACAATATCTCTTGCAGGCCTGTTTCACGGATCTGCGCCGTGAAGGCCCAAAGGTCAGTGCTGGAATCTAGGAAGTCTGTGCCAGCAGGATGAGGGATCTGTGCTAGCAGGCTGAGGGATCTGCCCTGGAGCCAAGAATCAATGCTCAGAAGAACCAGAGCTCCCCTGAAAGGTGCCACAGCCATCCTCAGCAACGGTGAGGTCCTGAGTTCCTCTGATGGTGAGGACAGCCGAGTTCCCATCAGGAAAGCCAACTCGACAAGCTTCTCCAGGAGACTGAGCAGTGCACCATCTTCCCCTCCAGAGCCAGGAAGCGATGCTCAAAGTGAGGAGCAGAGCTCCCCCAAAGTGAATCAAGGCTATTCTCAGTGACAACAAGGTCCCGAGCTCCTTGGAGGATGGAAACAGCCAAGTTCATCAGGAAAGCCAGCATGACGAGCTCCTCCAAGAAAACCAGCAGCTCCTTAGCGCTTTTCTCCGCTGCCAACAGGCTCCCAACAGCTTCTACCAACAACCAACAGGGCTGGGAATACAGCTCAAGTGGCACAAGTGCCTGCTTGGCAAGCGCAAGGTCTTGAGTTGGATTCCCAGTACCAAAAAAAAAAAAAAAAAAAACAGTTCTATGTTTATATTAAAAACCAAAACCAAAACCAAAATCAAAAAAACACAACCAGCAGTCTTTTCCCTTCTTCTCCAGGTCTGCCTCTTATGCTGCTGGCAACAATCCCCAGGTGGGCCTCCCACACCCAGCACCACTCACTCAATTCAGCTGGGGGTTATAAGTTGACCAGCAGTCATCAATCCACCATAGCCAGTTTACTCCCCAACCTTTTTTTCCCCTTCTCTCGTCTCCCATAATTTAAGAGACTAAATTACTTGTAGGTAGTTTTTGGATTCTATAATCATTTACCTATAGAAACATTATTTACATTTGTCAAACCTAAAATTTTCCATAAACATTAAATGTCAAGAGATTATGTTACATGTTGAGTCTAGAGGATAGATTTAGATGTGTACATTGTTAAGGAGCAAAAAAAATAAGCAACTACGGGGGATACTCATAATTTACTATTTCTGAGCCTAATTTATTTAAACAACGAATCTAAAGTTAAAACTAAGAGGCAAAAGTCAGTCCCCATCCATTTCAATCAATACTTCAGTCTTCTTCTTTCTCACTTCATTCATTTTTTAAAAATTTATTTTAAAAATAAAAGAATGAAAACGTATTAACAAACAGACATCCATTTACAAAATAGCATAAGAGCAATACAAACAAAACAGAGTTACAGACAAAGTTGTAGGAAATTAACCATGGTTGTTGTGTTACTTATTGATATCTTCAAAGTGGTTTCTCAGGAAAACAAATAGAGACATGCAAGACTGATCAAATAAGTAATCATTAACTGTTCCTTTCTGTAGAGCAATAGAAGACAGTAGTACAACTATGTTAGCTATCCTGTATTTACATACATATATAATTTCCCCTTCTTTCACTTCTCTCTTCCCTCATCCTAGTTACTCACTTCATTCATAACAAAACAAAGAAAACACAAAAAGAAAACAAAGTAAAAACTTTTGTGATTTAACCTCAATGCCAGGCATAAAGCTAGACATTGGAGACCAAAAGAAAAAGAAGAAAACACTCACTTCATGTCTTTAAGGAACTTTCATTTCATGGGGGATGCAGGAGGTGGACACTTGCTGGTAGTTATAAAAAAAGGTCATTTAAGTGGTCGGGGAAGTCATAGTTCATACTTACTGGCGCCTACAGTGGGAGGGGCCCACCATCCAGACCCCAAAAGTATGGGCTCAGAGACATGAAGCACAGTGGGCCAGGCGTGGTGGCGCACGCCTGTAATTCCAGCACTTGGGAGGCTGAGGCAGGAGGATCTTTGCGAGTTCAAGACCAGCGGGGGCTACAAAGTGAGCTCAAGGCCAGCCTGAACTGCATAACCAGACCCTGTTTCAAAAAAAAAAAAAAAAAAAAAAAAAAAAAAAAAAGCACAGTGGAAACCAAACCCTCATGGCAATTCCCCAGGAACAGGTGTAGCCAGGCACACCCCAATTCAAACAAGCAGTGACCTTTATACCCTCTAGCTGACAAGTCCCTTGCCCCGTCCTTCACTGACTGAGGTCAAGGGGGTACAATCTAAGTTCCCCTCCTTTTTTCCCATCAATCCACTCCGCCGTGTGCATTTCTTTGATTGTGGAATGTTGCTTATCAATGATCTCGTTTTAACATCTCGTTTTATTTGTTTGCTTGTTTTTTGTCTTTTTGAGACAGAGTTTCCTATGCAGTTCAGGCTGGCCTTGAGCTCACTTTGTAGCCCAGGCTGGTCTCAAACTTGCAATGATCCTCCTGCCTCAGCCTCCTGAGTGCTGGGATTATAGGGGCCACCATGCAGGCTCTAACACCTTGTTTTAGAACTTCCTGTGTGAGAGTCATTCTTTTGTGGTCAAGCTCTCCTGCTCAGAATAACTGCCTTCACTGTCAGTAAACTTCTGTCCACATTTAAAGCCAAATGAAAATGGACCACCTATTTCTCTATTTCATACACTGGTATGTACAAGGCTTTACTTTCAGTGCTTTTCAGAATATTAACCTTTTATTCCTACTAATAGTATAACGATATGGGGACTGGGAAACAACAAGTAGAGGGCTGCCGTTTAGGGAGGAGGGTGACAGAAGCAGGAAACAGTATGGGGGCAGTTAAAAAGTTCCAGATTGGCCTGGAAGGGTAGCTCAGTCATTTGATCCCCAGCACTGGGAAGCTACATGGATCGTACAGATCTTTTTGATCCTTTTGTTACCCAGAGAAAGACACTGGTGGGGACTCTTGGGAAATACACAGGCCTGCCAGGCTGGGGGATAAGATGTCTGTGGAGGCTCTGCGACCCCACCCCTGGCTTCTTAGGGCTGTTTACCCCCAGGCTGGGCTAGGCGTCCAGGAAGCCCCTTGCCTGGCGTTGGCTCCAAGCCTCAAGGTCAGCGACCTCGCTGTTCCTGACATTTTTCTGTCTTGCTGACCACCTGCTGATCTGCCTGGCCCTAAATCGGTCCCCACCGGGCCGATGAACCCCACTTCAGCTTAGTCCTGGTGAACCCCAACTCCCGCTGGGGACAGCCTTCGCCTTCGGGCTGCTGGAAAGGACAAATTCACGCTGCCTGTTTGCGGTGGGAGGGAACAATTTCTATTCTTTTTTTGGCCTCTACCTGTTTCCTCTTCTGAAGGACGGGAAAATTCCTGCTTTAATTCTTGCTTCGACTGTGCAACTTGCTTACAGATCTGATATGCAAGATGTTGCTGTCTTAGGAAAAAAGTTGCCTGTTGTGAAATTTTTAAATTCTCCTACCTGGGATGAAAGCGTGTGATTAGCAAAGTTTTATTATCAGAATGTATTTAAAAAATTAAGCTGAAAATTTGGTTAATGGGAGAGAGAGAGAAAACAGCACAAAACAGCATGCAGAATCGCATTTCCTATATGTGTTTAAGTAATGAAAAAATTGGAAAGAAATAGGTGAAAATAAAAATAGTTATGTCTGTGAAAACGTGTTGGTTTCTGGTCTTTGGACTTTTTGGTATTTTCTAAATTTTCTACTCTGTGCACTTGTTATTCTTGAAGTCAGAAAAGCAAACAATAAAAGCTACATTGTAGTGACTAATACTACACAAAACAAAAAGCTCCCGGCACCCCCACGGCGCTCCTCCCTAGCGCCGTACGGGGTGTTCTGCTGCACTCCGGTTTTTCTGGTTAGCTGAAGAGCTCGGATTTTGCAGCTTAAGTTGTTTATTTCCAGCTCTAAGCTTAAGGCGCGGAGGAGGAGTTTGGTGTGGTGCAGGGGCGCAGATCCGACTCCGGGAAAACTCGGCGCACAGCCTTTTCCGCGGGTCCCTTTGTCTGGAGGCTCCGGGGTTCCGGGTCTTTTGTTGTTCTCGCCTCCGACTCGGATTTGAATTTAAAGAAAAACAAGAGCTGGCCCTCCTTGCGCCCTCTGGTGTCCGAATGAGGACGGTGCAGCAGACAAAAGCGACAAAGCTCACAGCCATTTCACAGGTCTGCCCAATATGGGGATTCCCGGAGCCGGGATGTCTGCAATCCCGAGGAAGGAAATCCCACATCAACGGCACTGCAGGCTTGGTCTGTGAAACTTCATCAGAGCCTATAAGCGTGGATACTGTTTTTTAAAAAATTAAGATCAGTATCTATGCTGCAAGTATTTTTTTTTTTTTCTACTCTACTAGTGAATAAGTCAGTTCTCAAAGCACTTGGCATAGGTTTCTGGGTTCATAAAACTAAGAAAGTCAAATTTTGTTCTATAAATACAGCATAAATCAATATTTCGGATTATTTACAAATAATTTAGGTGAAAATGATCCAGCTGGATTAGAATGCAAATAATGACTGGTACAACTTAGAGCTTTATCAATACGTAAGGGATGGTATCACAAGTCCTTTTTGTCTGTGATATAGTTCATTGTATTGCATTTTCCATCAGACTATGTGGTTTTGAATTTTTTCTTTTTTGGAGATAAGGTCTTGCTATGTATTCCAAGCTGGTCAAATTCAAACTCATGGCAATCCTCCTGCCTCAGCCTCTCAAGTGCTGGGATTACAGGTGTGCGCTACCACACCTGGCTCAAACTATGTGTTTCTAAAAATTATATTTCGACTCAAAATTTAGACAAAGCACATTTTGGTTTCAGTGACTGATGGACGGGATCCACAGTATTGCAGTTACATTTGAATAAGTGGTTCATGCACAAAGAGATTCAAAAAGTACCAGGAGGTACAGACAAAAGCCTCTCTCCCATTCCTAACTCACAGGCACCGTTCTCTCCAGTGATGTCAGGGTTGGTCCTGCAGCTCCACACAGCCATCAAGGGCTGTAAGTTCTTCTGTTTTCTGGATCTTCTTTTTTTTTTGATACTGGTAATCGAACTCACAACCTGGCACTTGCCAAGCAGGTGCTGTGCCGCTGAGCTGCATCCTTGGCCCCAGGTCTTCCATTTCTGCAACCTTTGGCAAACCAACTTTCTTTTTTATGCTTCTCATTTCATGGTTGCAGGCACCCTGTCCACTTCCAGGGCCCGAGCAGGAGGGAAGAGGCGGTCCAAGCAACGCTTTTCTTGCATTGAGCCCCTTTGACAGGAAGAAAAGCCTTGCAGGAGGATTCTGGCAGTTGCTTCCCTGTTTCATTAGCCACGATCGGCTAACACGGGGGCTGGGAAAGTGATAAGCAAAAGGGAGTGGATGGCGATTCTGATTTTGTAAAGTAAAACGTTCTAGTGTTCTGTGCTGTTTTAAAGGAAGGAAATCTATTAGTATAACACTTCCTCCCCTTAAATCAACAATCTATTAATCATTTTTATGTAAGGAGATATGCCCAGCAAACTATACACTGCATTACAATTTCAAATCAGAGCTGCACATATTTTGAAAGCATTCTGACCACATCCTTCCTCTCCATCAGATCTTTCCAAGGCATCTTCTTACTGATTTATTTCCAAACATTCTCATTATTAAAGAGGTTGAGTATCTCTTCATGTTTGTCTGCTGGATGTATTTTCTCCAGAGCTAGTTTGGGTCCTGATTTTTTTCCCCCCAGAATTTGCTGGTGGAGTTGTTTTCCAATGGAAGGGCATGGCTCAGAATAGCAGTGGAGGTTCGTGCTCATGTCATTGTTGTAGGATTACCGAGGGTGACCACATTTTCCAGTTTGTTTGGGACAATCCTCCACTAGCCTATTGTGCTAGTGTATATTACTATAATGGTCTGTTCACTCTCAAAAGTGCTTCAATTTGAACGAAAAAATTATATGTTCATTTATTATTTGAATTATACATCAAAATGCCATTGTCACTCCTTTGTGCTGAGATCTCAACTGGCAGGTGCTGAATGAAGTCTGAGGTTTGCTTGGCTTCCTTTTTTGGGGGTCGGGGGGTGTTTTTCCGGTACCGGGAATCAAACTCACAACCTTGTGCTTGCCAGGCAGGCCCTGTGCGGCTGAGCTAAATCCCCAGCCCCTGGTTGGCTTCCTTTGCTGGTGTATTTCCAGGTACTGTAATAGTGCCTCGTGCACAGTAAGTCCTAATACATATAAATAAATAAATACATAAATTCATTGCTTGGGCGTTGGCACATTGCCACCTGAGCAACTGCATTCTGTTAGCAAGGAATACGGAGGAATGGTTTTGGGGTACACAACTCATGGTGCCTGCCAAAACATGCACTTTAGATTTTGATAGATATTGTCAAGCTGTTCTCCTCAGGGTCTAACCGGGTTACACTCCCACCAGCAATATGTGAGAGCATCTGTTTTTCTAACACCCCTCCACATGGTGTGATCAAAATTTTTATCTGTGCCAATCCGTAGTCTAATTTGCATTTCCCTTATTACGGAGACGCATATCCTCATGTGTTTAAAAGCCGCTTGAAACTTCTTTCCAGAGCGCTATGTTTATATCCTTTGCGCACTATTTTTGAGTAAATTATGGGGTTTTTTTCTTATCAATCTGTAGGAATGCAGAGAGTTCCTAGTTTTTCATGTCTTTTGGGTTTGTTTATGGTGTTGTTACTGGGCAGAATTTTTAAAATGTGTTTATATTTAGCTCCTTTTCTTTTATAGCTTATATATCTATATACTTTTCTTTTTTTTTTTTTGGTACCAGGAGTTGAACTCAGTACCTTATGCTTGCCAGGCAGGCACTTATACCACTGAACTATATCCCCCACCCTATAGCTTCTATATTTCATATCATGCTTAGAAATGCTTTTTCTACCCCCATATTTCAGATCAAGTCTACCATATTTTCCTCTTTTACTCTCAGGTTTTCAACGTTCACATATATATCTGTATCTATCTGTAATTCACTTTGGTATAACTGATATAGGGGAAATAATACGTAGTTCCCAACCCATTAGATGCCAGATATGCCAAGTTTGTGCTTCCCAAAATCAAAGAATGATTTCTAAGGAATGAGTAGGCAAACTTCATTGAGAGACGTAGCTCCTAGGAGACAGGAGGGAACCCCAAAAGTGGGCTGCACGGACTCCACTTTACGTAGAAAGCTTTCTAGAGCAAGATCACGAGGTGGGTACAACGTGGGTCAAAACCGTGATCAACCAATCAGATAGATATAGCTGCTTGGATAATGTTGATCCAGTGGGGAAGCAAGTCACATAGCAAGGGTACATGGAAAGAACAAGGACTTTTTTTTGGAAGAGATGAGTCAGGAGGTCCTGGTCACCCCCCTGGATGACTGATGTCTAGGTAAACTTCATTGGCCCAGGTGATATCAGTTATAATACATTGCTTATCCCTTGGGGAGGCATGCAGGCCTGGTCATTCCATGTTTATCTTGAGGCCTGGCCTTCAGTGGATGCTCCTCCAGCCATAGTTGTAATGTATTCTCATCCTCTCCACTGGCTTCCTAAGGGACTAGCCATGTCCGACTACTTGTAATGTTTTTACCTAATTAACTGTCTATAATATAACCATCTAATATTGTTTATTTAATATTCCATCTTTTTCCCACTGAGGGGAACAGTAATAGCTTCATGACTTTCAGGGACTATTTGTTATTGTTATTTTTTATTCTTTTGTCTTTTTGAGACAAAGTCTCTCTAGGTAGTTCAGGCTGGCCTTGAACTCACTTTGTAGCCCAGGCTGGCCTTGAACTTGCAGAGATTTACTGCCTCAGCCTCCCAAGTGCTGGCATTACAGTCATGTAACGGGATTACGCCATACCCAGCAGGGACTATTTATTATGCAACTTAATACTGTAGTAAGTTCTAAGGAATAGAATTCGAGGGCAAAGCAGCCAGGATAAATTTTAATTTGTGGTTTCCTGAGTATGTGAATGAGCCAGGAGATTAGGGTATGGCTAGCTAGCTGGACAAGTAAGTACAACTTGTCAATCATGGAGATACAGGAGACATGTACCCAAGCCCTGGACCTGGAACCAGTCAGAAAGTGCTACCTTCGATTCTTCATGTGAGAACTCAAGCAGGTCTTTGACAGGATGGCTTGGACGTCAGTCTGAGGGGATACAAAAGACCGCGGCCATTAACCCCATGGGCACTGTGCTCTCTCGTGGTGTCCATTGTCCCCCTGCAGTGTATTTCTTCTCTTACTTTGATGGGCTCACACTTGCCCTGTAGAAGTTCCTCTTCCTACGTTTAATAGATGTAGCATCTCACACTTGTCTTGATCAGTTCTTTGTTCAGGATAGAGGGAACCTAGAAACTACCTTTACAAGAGGACCCCAGAACCCCAGAACCTGGTAATAACAGCACAAAATTCTGAGCTTCCCACCTCAGCTTCTAGAGTGCTGGGGTTACTGGGGTGTGCTACCAGGCCCTGCTAATAACACCAGCTTTTGTTAAGCATTCATGCGTTAAGTGTACTACACATATTTTTGTACAGTCTTCCATGTGTATTATACCTACTATGCAAATGCTTTGCTGGAGTTGTATAAAATTATGTACAGTTTAGCAGGGAGTGGTGTACACACTTGTAATCCCCAGCACTCCAGGGGGCTGAGGCGCCAGGGCCAATATTTTGAACCCAGCCTGCACCATGTAGCAACGTAGTGAGACCCTGTCTCAAAATTAAAAAAAAACAAACAATTAGAAAAAGGGTGGGGATGAGAAGTTCAGTGTGAAGGCTCTGGGTTCAATCCCCGGTATAAAAAAAAAAAAAAAAAAAAAAAAAAAAAAAAAAAAGAAAAAAGAAAGAAAGAGTTAAGTCAGGGGGTGGGGACTTAGCTCAGTGGCACAGCACCTGCTTGGCAAGCATGAGGTCGTGAGTTCGATTCCCGGTACTGGAAATAAATAAGTAAATAAAATAAAATAAAGCAAAGCGGAAGAAGAAGCGCTGTAACCTAGGTGATCAGGGAAATCATTGTCAGTCTCCGGAAGTCCTCCACCTGCTCTACCTCAGTCATATTTTCCCTTTTCCTCAAGATGTAACCGCTCTCTTGACCTCTTGGGAAATTATTCCTGCTTCGCATTCTACTTTTACGGCACATGTAAGCCGTTAAATACTCTACTGTTTATTTTGACAACTCAGCGGCAAGCTGCCCAGCCTTTGCGGTAGTTTCAAACGAGCAGTGGGACAAATCTCTGGATCAAGTCTTAGGTCCGTGTCCCTGTGAGACTGCAGGAGCTGCTTTAGGGAAGTCGGGGTCAGGGTCAACACAAGGCAGCAGCATAGACCGCAGATGGGACATGTGAAGTCAGGGTGAGAAAAAAGTCAAAGAGCAGGGGACTCTCCCTGCAGCTTCCAGCTCTCCCTGGCTTCTCTCTGGCTCTCAAGAGGAAGTCAAACCGCGTAAATAAGGACCAGAGTGTATAATAGATATTGTGAAATAGGAAGAAATTGTTCAAAAGAGAAGGGGAACCGGGGAAGGGGAGGGAGAAGGAAGGAAGGGAAAAGAAAAACTGTGAGCGAAGAAGGAAAAAACAGAAACAAAGCTTTTATAAATAAGGAGGGAGGAGGGGTTGAAGGGAAGATAAGGGAATGGGAAGAAAAAAGAAAGAATCAAGATATATCACGGACAGGTGCAAATTCCCTATGATGAACGTGAGCATTATGTACACCTAAAATGTAACAATGAGCTTAATTAATAAAAAATAAAGAGGATGTCAAAGCCGAGCAGGTCTGTGGGATCAGGTGACCGATGGCCTCCGTTCATGCAGACAGTGGGATGGTGGGTGTGTTAGTTTCCTATCGCAACTCTTGGAGCAGTTTAAAACGACGCACATTTACTGTCTCAGTTTTTACCTGAAAAACACCCTTTCGCCATGTAAGTAATATCATCATGGGAGTCACATTAGAAGGTGGAGATCATAGGGCTCCTTTTAGAATTCTGCCCGGCACCCGAAGGGTAGCAGGAATTTCATTGGTCTGTGATCCTATCAGGCCCAGCAGAGATAAAATCTAGCCCCAAACAGCCTGCTGTCCTTGGGTTAAGAAGCTGGTGCAGATCTCTGCCATAGCTGCTTTGATGCGGTGTCCTGTGTCACACTGCTGCGGTGGGGGTTGACTGTCCTTTGCATCCGACTCACAGCTGTCATTCTAGCGCCCCTTTTCATCTCCTGTTGAGGATCCCGGTGTCTCTTGGGTTGAGTGGTTTGTTTTCTGCATTTATTCCTATTTTGGTGTAGCCAGGCCTTTCCTCTTGCAACTCTTAAGAATGGGTACGTGGAAGTTAAACGTTATGAGACCATAGACATCTAAAATTTGATTTTTTTTTTTTTTTTTTTAGAGGCCATATTATGACCTTAGTTTGTTCTGGGAGATCTTTGCAGGAACCAAATACATTTTTTTTTTTTTTTTTTGGCACCAGGGATCGAACTCAGGACCTTGCGCTTGCCAGGCAGGTGTAAAATTTGATTTTATATTTATACTTGGTATAATTATATACATAATTATAGGTTGGAAGTTAGTTGCCCTCTGGATTTTTTTTTTTTTTCTATACTGGGAATTTAATCCAGGGCTTTCATACCGGGTTATAACCCCAGTCCTTTTTAATTTTTTTTTTTTTAAATTTTGAGACAGGGTGTCACTAAGTTGCCCAAGCTAGGGTAGAACTTTCAATCCTCCTGCCTCAGCCTCCCAGAATGCTGGGATTACAGGCGTGTGCCACCGTGGCCAGGATCCTTTGGGTTTTGTAGGCACCATTCCCCCATCACTGTGCTGGCTTGTCTCTGTCCAACTGCGCACCACCGTCGTCCCTTTTAGAGTCTGCTCTGCATTAAAGAGGAGGGAGTAGTAATGCCATGTCCCAGAATCCCCTTCTCCATATGCTTCAAGGTTGGAGTTTGCCAATGAAAGGCGCTTGCCTGAGATGCAAAGCAAAAGAGAAGAAACCGCCCGTCCAGGGAGGAGGTCATAAGCAGAAGCAGGGCCAAGGTAAGCTCTCAGCTGTAGCCTTTTTTGATAGCACCAGCCTCTGGCATTGAACACTGCAACTTTATCTATTATTTGTTTATTTGAGTCTGGTTTTGTTTGTTTGTTTGTTTAATCAGGAATTGAACTCAGGACCTTAAGCTTGCTAGGCAGGTGCTGTATCACTGAGCTATATCCCTGGCCCTTGAGACAGGTTTTTTTGTTATGTAGTTTAGGTTCGCTTTGAACTCACTATGTCATCCAGGTTGGCCTCAAACTCACAGTGATCCTCCTGTCTCAGCCTCCCAAATTCTGGGATTACCAGTGTGTGCCACCATGCGTGGCTTCTCATAACTTTGGTTTATGCTGTATTTTTGGGAGAGTTCTACAAATTTATCTTCTAGCCTCTGAGTTTTAAATTCTATTAGCATATTTTAAAGTTTCACATGCTCATGCTTCCATTCAAATTATATTTGTAGAGTAAGTATTTGGTTCTTGTTTTGCGGAAACAAAATATTCTCTTTTCTCTTGGAGAATATTTGAAATATTCTTCTCCTTTCACAGTTTCTCTTCCCTTCAGTTTGCTGTGCTTTGCTTCCTGCTGTTTGTTTGATTTCCAGTGTCTGTGCTCGGGACTTTTCCAGATGACCGGAAGTCCTTGGTTTTTTGCTTCTGACTGCGATGGAGAACCCAAAAGACAATTTGCAGCCTTGAGTGTGGTTGAAGCTTGTTCATGGTGGGACCCTCACGGTAGGTCCCTAAGTAAGTATTCCTTATTCCCATGTATGTTTCTTTAGCTGTTTCCTCTTGACCTGATAGGTTACTCGGCAAGTGCTCTAATTACCTGCCTGGAGCATGAAGGTCCAGTCGTCATTGTCTGGGGAGTCCAGTGAATGAGGAGGACTGAAGTCTTCTGTGAATGCACAGTGACCAGACTCTTCTGATTGCAGAGCAGTATCTAGGAGCTCAGCTGTTCTCCGTCTCATCTTCACTGAGCAAACCATCAGGGCTGTGCTGGTGTGAGTGAGGGTATTTGTAGAGCTGTATGGAATGAGGGAAGTAGTTCGGGGGATTAACTGTTACTGTTTTATTTTATCATCTTGAAGTCCTTAGTACAGCCCTATCCTAAGGCCTTTGAGGGTTCTGAGGTGTTAATCATATTGATTCTTAGCTTTCTCCACTGCCATCTTTGAATTCAACTTTCTTGGGTCTCTGTCAGCTGTCCTTCTTCTGTCTGTTTTCCAGATTGGAGCATTGCTTTCTCTTGCTTCCTTTCTTGATCTTGAGAGCTTGTAGGTTTACATTTAAAAAAAAAATCCATTCAGGTCACAAAATAGCTGCCTCAGCTGTAAACATCATATCCACACATGGTAACATACAAAACAGGATACAGATGCTTTTGTTCATGCATAGGGCTCTGTTTATCAGGAAGACAAATGCCAAAGCTGGACTACCCTCAGTCTGATTGGTCAGATTTGTATGTCCACCCCATGCCCATCCCCAAGTCAGACGAGGCTGGGTGCATTCAGGGTGGTGAGAGTGTAGCCCATCCTGAATTAATCACGGTCAAAGGAAAAGAGAAAATTTCAGAGTTTAATCAATGGGGCTTTGGGAAGAGCCCACCATGCAGAGCATGTTTATGCCTTATATCCGCACATATTTGGATTCTGTAAGAAATAACGGAAAAGGGTTGTCAAGCAGGGAACCGACACTGCCTGCCCCATCATCAAATAAACACACCACATGTAATGTTGCAGACTATTGATTAGCTGACAATCAGTAGGCAAAACTGCATTAAAAAAAAAAAGTATTCTGAACACTTCACAATTGTATAACGTCTCCTAAGGTGTAGTAGCCAGTCTATCAGGACAGAGGTAGCAACTAAGGATGATATTTTGTAGGAATGAAACATCTGAGAACTAGTGTTCCAGAGTTTGGGTTTAGGAATAAAGTTAAGGCAATGGAATAAGAATTTGATTAAATTCAGTTAGAACCAGATACATCTTATTCACATTACTAACAAACAGAGCAAAGAAAGAAAAACTTGGAGTGGGGAGAAAGATCATGGAAGGTTTTCAGGGTTTCCACTCATGAAAGAAATGGTCGTCAACTGGTGAAAATGTCAGTGGACCGCTCTGCACAGCCGAGGAGGAGGCTTTGTCCTGAGGCTTTTGATGAATTATTAGGGGACTCTCCCAGAAAAAGCTGTGCTCTTTTAAAGTAATCTATTAATAATAAAATTGACTGTAGCTTGTGAAAAACAGAACAAACAGGCGTGGGCAGTTCTGCTTGCATTGTTACTTCTTGAATTTTGCGGGGGTTGTGGCATTCACGTTTGGTACCACCTAACATAACTTTAGCTAGTTTAAGCAAAACTAGTTTAAGAAATGAAACATATTAAGGACTAACTGATATCTCAGAGGGACTCTAGGAGGGTCAGGGTTAGGCTTGGCAACTTGACAACCCCATAAAAATGACATAATGGCTGCAGTGCACACGGCATTGGGGAGGCAGCCACTGACTACCCTGTTAGAGCGCCCTCTACCTCCCGCCAGTTTCTGGTGTCTACTTTTGAGGGTGGAACTCGTTTGCACAAAAGATGTTGGGCAGTCCTGCACCGGGCACATGCTAAACCAAAAGAAGACAGATAGGCTTAGGAGCGTGGCGTTTGATGCACCTTTGCTCAAATCCAGCCCCTTGGCTTCTTAACTGTGGTCCTCTGGGCCAGCTACTTAACCTTTGTAAACCTGTTTCATGATCTGTAAGATTCTGATTAAAGTGGCTAGTCACAGAGTCACTATTAAGAAGAAATGCAGCAGGGCAGAAAGCATGTAGGCTAGTGCCTCGTGCCTGGTGAATACTCAAGAATTGCAAGTGCGTATTATTACTATTCTTATTAGTATTTTATTCATGTTGATGTAGGACAGTTACAGTGCATTAGATGTTTTTGTCTCAAGAACTAATGTTTAAATATTAAATTTAGAACTCCATTTTATGGTTAAAAAAAAAAAACCCAAGAGGGGTTAGTATCAAAATTTGGATAAATGATAAACGTCCCTGTCTGATCTACCATCCTTCTGCATCTCCCTACATGATTGGTCCACCATTATGATTATAGAATGCTGGTTATAGATCAACATATGCTTTCATGAAAATCAAAGTAGAAAAAAAAAACCCAGGTCAATGCACAGTGGCTCAGACAATGTCACATTTAGTGTTTCTTAGTGGAGGGGTCTTTTTATTCACGAGTGTGCTGGTCAACTAGTTTGATACAAATATTGGAAGAGAAAAGAACTAGGACTGAGGCAATGGAATCCTCTCTATGACCAGATTTTACTGGGATCCTCCCTGTGTTTTGAGCAGTACTATTATGGTTTTATTACGGGGCATATGCCTCCTGCTAGTGCTGTAGCAGCAGCTATCTTTGTAGTATGATAGGCAGAGCACTCCGGTTTGGAGCCAGAAAAATTTAAATCTCTGCTCTTCCCTTTATTAGCTGAGTAACTCTTTTGAGCCTAAAGTTTGTTGTCTTAAGGATAAAATACTTGCAGGGTTTCATGAACTGAATGACATATTTGTTTTTTTTTTTTTTGGTTTCTCTCCGGTACCGGGAACCGAACTCACGACCTTGCGCTTGCCAGGCAGGCGCTTTGCCGCTGAGCTAAATCCCCAGCCCCCTGAATGACATATTTAATAGGCTTGGTGGGTAATAAAATATTTAATGCGTAATGTGCATTAACCCCACACATGGGGGAAACCACAGTGAAAATTTAAGATTTTTTAAATTGAACTTTGGCAGTCACTGTAGTGCATTAGCTGCTTACAGAGGATCTGGTTTGTTACTTCATTGTCATCTTCAGACTGGTGACATTATTTTAGTTTTCCCAGGAAACTCTTGCACCTGTGGTCCGGTTATCAATAGCTGCCGATCAATCACCGTAAAACCTAGTGGTGTAAAACAATAACAGTTTACTATGCTTGCAGATCCTGTGGGTCAGAAATCTGACAGGAGACAGGTGGCAGTGGATTGATTTTGATCTGTATGTCTGGGAGCTCCACTGGAGGGACTTGAACAGCTAAGAATGACTCAAAGAATGAGAATCTAGTTATGTGGAGACTTCTTCACTTCTGTGTCTTGTGCCTAAGCTGACTTGAGAGCTGGACTTCACCCAGAGGACCTGCATTTAACTTCTCTCTGGGCCATAGCTTTCTTACGGCATGGCATGTGGGTCCTAAGAGAGAAAGTCCTGACAGTGAAGAACTCCACTGCACCTTGCAGAAGCTGCATGGCCCTTTCTGACCTAGTTTCAGCAGTTAATGAAATAGACACTTCCGTTGGTAAAAGCGAATCACCAGAGACAGCTCAGATTCAAGGGGAAGTGAATTCGATTGTACTTCTTGATGGGGGAGTGGCAGGGCCATACGCAGAAGAGCGCAGGAAGTAGGAGATTATTGTTGTGGCCCCCTTGGGAAGATGCAGTGTCCCATAACCTGATAGAGGGAGGTGGAGTGAACACATTTCAGCCTGGTATTGAAGTGTTGGCCCATGCACAGATATTTCAGGTATGTTTTTCAACAAGAAAATCAGGTTATAGCAAGAATGTATGATTCTATTTTTGTTTATAAATATGCAAAGTCGTGTGCGTACGAGTGTGCATGCCTCTGTGTGTGTGTGTGTAGTAAATATGCTATTTCAAGGACACAAAATTAGTTATACTGCAAAGGTAACTTAATTATTTGCTAAAAGCTTGGTCTATGACTTCTGATCTTATCTTTCTATCCTAGAGTCCATCTCTTGTTCATTCTTTTTGATGGAGGAAATGTCACTTAGTTGCTTCCCAGTAAACCCAGTTATTTCAGTCACTTCTCATTTCTTTAAAGGCCTGATATTTCAGAATTGTTTCCTTTTCCGGGAAGGGAATAACCGCAAAGTGTTAGAGAGCAAAACAGCTAATATTTTAAATATAATTCTGCTACACATGCACTGGGAAGAGAGTGATGTACATTCCTTTTTTTTTTGTCTTTTTGAGACAGGATCTTGCTATGCAGTTCAGGCTGGCCTTGAACTCACTTTGTAGCCCAGGCTGGCCTCAAATTTCCAACAATCCTCCTGCCTCAGCCTCCCGACTGCTGGGATCACGGGTGTGCTCCAGCATGCCCGGCATGATGTACATTCTGAATGATGAGAAAACTATGGAATTTTTTCCATTTTCTTTTTATTCTGCATTTTTAACTTTTATACTACAAAGGCATATGTGTAGCTACTATATATATTGATATGTGATATTGTGTACTATTTATAGGGTTGAGATTTTTATTCAACTAGATGTAGAAAATCAGGACTTAAGAATATCAAGTAATCTCAGGATATTATTTTACTTCTTATTTTTGCCATGTTTGGGTGGGGTCAAACCCAGGGCCTTCTGCATGATGAACAGTCTTCCACTAAGCAACATCTTAAGCCCCTAAGATGTATTTTTAACTACTGTAATACAACAGCACTCAGTTAAACACTAATATACATATTGCCAATAAGATATTTAAGAGTAGAGTTGTAGTCCATTTGAACCTCTGTTTCATTTTATCAGAGGCTAGTGAAGTCATTGGAGGAGGAGTATGTGTAGGTTTTATTTAGAGGCAGGCCCTGGTTTACATTAGCTTAGGTTGGTGGGTTTAAACTCTTAGTGGATCATTCTTGGGTCAGAATAATATTAGGTGTCTGGTCTGGAACTATTGGTGTCCTCTGTGCTAGAAAGGTGAATTCTAGTTTAGATTATTATTATTTTTTTGGTGGGGACCAGGAATCAAATTCAGGGCTTTGTGCTTGCCAGGCAGGTGCTTGTGCTGCTGAGCTATATCCTGGGCTCCTCTAGTCCAGATTAGAAATTTGGTTTGGGCTCACTCAGTCCTTGAGGGAGAAGAGGAGTGCTATGTGTCCTGGAAGGCTTGTGACAGCTGTGGGTTCAGTCCAGAGCTCACTCTTACTGCCAGTAGAGTCTGTGAGGTGGTGCTTACTGATCCTGGATAACCAAGCACACAGAGAAAAGAATATTTCTTAGGGTGCCAATCTTCTTGAAAATCAATCAGATTATTAGGAGAACCCAGGGAGAGCAGTGTGTGTGTGTGTGAGACTGAGTTTGTGTGTGTACAGCTAACAATCTTGAACAGAAAATTTCATTGAGATTTCTTACACTTTTGAGGATTCCTTAGATTTAAGTATATTTTATGTTTGCTTTTGTGGACTGGGAATTGAATTTATGGTCTTTGCCCTAAGTTACATCTCCACCCCTTTTCTGAGATGCAGTCCTGCTAGGTTGCTAAATTGCCCATATTGGTCTTGAATTTGTGATCCTCCTGCCTCAATCTCCTCCAGTGCTAAGATTATAGGCATCCACCATCACACTGAGCTTAGATTTAAATTTAAACATTTTAAGTTGAAGAATAAGAATTATATATATGGATCGTGTACAACGTGGGGTTTTGATGTGTGTATAGACTATACAGTGACTCCATCAAGCAAGCTGACGTATCCACCTATAACCTTTGCTAATTGCAGAGGAGACCCCATCTCCCCCAAGTGTGCAGGAAGTACCTCCCTTGCACCATGCTGTAGTACTGGAAGGGAAGGGAGGGGCATTGCTTTGACCTCATATTTTAGCTTTGCTGTAAGTGGCTGTACAAATCACAATTCCAACAGGGAAAGGTAGCATGGCTTGTGTCCCATTAAGGTGGAAAATGTGAATTATTATTATTATTATTTTGAGATGGAGTCTGGCTGTGTTGCTTGCCTCAGTCTCCCCAGTAGCTGGGATTATAGGTGTGTACCACCCTGCTTGGCCCAAGTAATTTTCTCTTGGCAAAATGCACACAATGAATAGCACATTTTCCCCTAGAAGGACATTCTGATCTGTTCTCACAGTTGATTGCTGATAGACGTCTTGTTCCAAGGATTGTGCGTAATGTAACAGTGTGAACATAATGCTCAGACTTTAATTATTTCATGTAGCTAAGACCGAACCCGATCTCATGCATGCTAGGCAAACAGTCTCCCAAGGAGCTGCATTCCCAGCCCCTAATACTCAGACTTTCAGAAGGTAAATAACTTCTTTAGGTATGGTATTGTTATGGTTTGGGGCTAATTTTTGCAAGGGGGACAATATAATACAGGACACATAGTTTGTAAGATTATTTATAATGGTCACCCAAAGAATGATAAACAAAAGAGTATAGGGAATCTGTCCACAGACTATAGACCAAGAATCCAGCTGAGGGCCTGGATCCCACAGAAATGTCCTGCATGAGTCCAGCTGAGGACCTAGAGCCCATAACAGTGCCTCCCACGAGGGCAACTGGAGGCCCAGAGTCCGTAACAATATCTCTTGCAGGCCTGTTTCACAGATCTGTGCTGCGAAGGCCCAAAGGTCAGTGCTGGAATCTAGGAGGTCTGTGCCAGCAGACTGAAGGATCTGTGCTAGCAGGGATCCTGCACTGGAGCCAGGAAGTGACGCTCAGAAGAACCAGAGCTCCCCCGAAAGGTACCACAGCCATCCTCAGCAACAGTGAAGTCCCGAGCTCCTCCGATGATTAAGATGGCCGAGTTCCCGTCAGGAAAGCCAATGCAGCAAGCTTCTCCAGGAGACTGAGGTATGCACCATCTTCTCCTCTGTAGCCAGACAGTGATGTTCAAAATGAGGACCAGGAGCTGGGGATTTAGCTCAGTGGCAAAGCACCTGCCTGGCAAGCGCAAGGTCGTGAGTTCAGTTCCCGGTACTGGAGAAAAACAAAACAAAAAAACAAAAACAAAACAAAACAAAGTGAGGACCAGAGCTCCCCCAAAGTGAACCAAAGCCATTCTCAGGGCCAACAAGGTCCCTAGCTGGTTTCATCTGGAGGATGAAAACGGCCAAGTTCATCAGGAAAGCCAGCATGACGAGCTCCTCCAAAACAGTCAACGGCTTCTTACAGCTTCCGCCAGCTCCCAACAGCCTAACTTCTTCTCCAGGTCTGTCTCTTATGCTGCTGGCAACAATCCCCAGCTGGGCCTCCCACACCCAGAACCACACTTACTCAGTTCAGCTGGGGGTTATAAGTTGACCACCAGTTGTCAATCCACTACAGGTATCAAGCTAGAATTCTAAACAGAGCTGTAAATCAAATACATTATTTTCAAAAATCTAGACATGCTTATTGGAGGTGAGCTCAAAAGCAGTGCTTAGGTGTGTTCTCAGCTGGTTAGGTGAAACATTTAAAGATCTTCCCTTTTCTCTTTCTTTCTTTCTTTCTTTCTTTCTTTCTTTCTTTCTTTCTTTCTTTCTTTCTTTCTTTCTTTTCTTTCTTTCCTTCTGATATTGGGAATTGAACCCAGGGCCTTTGCATGCAGCTATAATACTAGTCTTTTAAATTCTTTTCTTTCCTTTCCTTTCCTTTTCTTTCTTCTGAGACAGGGTCTTACCAAGTTGTGCCAGCTGGGCTCAATCTTCCAATCCTCCTGCCTCAGCCTTCCAGAGTGCTGGGATTAGAGGCATATACCCTCATGCTTGCCTAGCAGTGTGGGAAGGAAGGGTGCCTGGACATGGTTCATGAGGAATATAGTCCTGGACCAAGACCAGCAGACAGCTACCATCCCACAGGAAGGGAATTCTGTATCAGTTACTTAGACATCATCTTTAATCTTTCTGTGCTCAAGCTCTAAACTCTGAAAAGAGAGAGAAATAGCATTGCTAACTGTGTCTCTTGGGTTGTTCGCCATCTCCTAACTAAAGTTCCTGCCACCTTTAAGGTTTTTAGAAACAAGTTGCTAAAGGAAGTGGATATTTGGGGCAGTCGGATCTTACAGGTTTGACCTGCAGTCTTTCTGGGAAGTCTGGTGGAGGGGGGAAAAGGTTCCAGGAGAGTGACGCCTCCCATGCCTTAGATGTGCATTGATAAAAGAGACATAATAGGGTGGTTGTGGAATAGTTAAATGAGAGAATGCATGAAAATCTTGGTGAAAGAGACAGCTATGGGCTGTCTGAGCCATTTTTTTTCTCCTGGTACAACCATGAGCCCACATCCCAGCCTTTGCAGTTAGACACAACTGTGGGATGAATTCTGCCCAATAGATGAACATTGTCTGATCCCACGGGCGACACTCCGTGCTTGCTTCCTCTGTGGGTGTCTGGAGTGGACACAGCTCTCGTGCTGAAGATGGTGAAGCCACAGGAAGGAACTTGAGCACCCACATCCCAGAGTAAAGTCGGGAGAATAAACTGCCCAACTGCTTACCCGGAATCGATATGAGGCGAATGACAAATAAACTGTGTTGGAATATGAGCTTGAGATTTTACGATTTAGCTGCTGGTGTTTATTTGCGAGTGCTTAGGTTAACTCAGCCCAGTGCCTGACTACCTGCTCAATAGTAATGAAGCATAAGCAGTGAAGGCCAGATAGAAAATGGCAAGAGAGCCGTAGATGGATTTCACACCACACTACTCTCTCTCTCCTGTTCTTTGTGTGTGTGTCTTTTCGAAACAGGGTCTTGCTTTGTAGTTCAGGCTGGCCTTGAGCTCACTTTGTAGCCCAGGCTGGTCTCACTCGAAGTGATCCTCCTGCCTCAGCCTCCTGAGTGCTGGGATTACAAGCATGTGCCACCATGCTCGGCTCCCTCTCTCTCTCTCTCCCTCTCTCTCTTTGTCTCTCTCTCTATATATATATATTTATTTTTTGGGGGGTCTGTGGATTTTAATACAAGCTGCTTTTAAAAAAATTTATTTTTTGAGACAGGGCCTTGCCATATTGCTCAGGCTAGTTTGGAACTTGAGAGTTCAAGCCATCCTCCTGCCTCAGCTTCCTAAGTAGCTGAGACAACAGGCCTGTTGCCACCACACCCAGCCAAGTGACTGTATTTTTCTCCTGAAGCTCATCCTAGCTAGAAGCTCATGAATGGCTTAGAAATCTAAGTTTGGGTTTGTGTTTTTTTTTTTTTTTTTTTTTTCCGGTACCAGGAATTGAACTCCTGACCTTGCGCTTGCCAGGCAGGTGCTGTGCTGCTGAGCTAAATCCCCAGCCCCTCCTGATAGGTTTGTGAACCTGGGTTCACGGACCTACATATGTCAGGGGACGAATAGACTTTTTCTCCCCCGTCTCAAACAAAAAGGGCTATGTTTCTGTTCTTCACTCTGATTAAACCAGGTCTTACGGTCACCAGTGAGGGTGACCAGAGAAATGTCCCAGGACTGCAGAGTACTGAGGTGAAAGGTAAATAGGCTCAGGCTGTTCAGGACCTAGAGCTAAACGGTCACCACCTCCGGCCACAGTGAGGCACAGACAGGGGGCCGCTCCCTCAAGGGAACTCCGAGTACTTTTCGAAGGGGGAGAGCGGGGAGGACGAATCTCAGTCAGTCCGGTTGCCCACTGCACCTGCTGCTGCTTTGTCTTCTGCGAACCATGATTGCTTGGCTCTTCTTGCGATGGCAGCTCCTGAACTTGACTTATAATCCCCAGACTTTGTTCTACTCCCCACCTACTTCTCTGGTTCTGTTCATACAAGAGGGCTGTTCCTCTCAGAAGGTGGAGTTGTCCCCAGAGCCCCGTCTTTCCTATCCAAAACATCAAGGCCATAAATTTGCCCACATCTCATCCCAGCGCTTGGGAGGCTGAGTCAGGAGGATTGCTGTGAGTCTGAGGTCAGCCTGGGCTACATAGTGAGTTCAAGGCCGGCCTGAAACATAGTGAGATGCTATCTCAAAACAAACACCAAGAGAAAGAAAGAAAGAAAGAAAAAAAAACACCAGAGCATCAAGACCATGATAAAAAAGACCCTGCTAGAAAGCAGAAAACAAAGACCAGAGGAACAATAGGACTTCTAGTCTCCTAAAAGCATGGTCTTGTGGGGACAAAGCCAGAACTGTCCACAGAAGTCACCTGGTCACCATGGATCTAGTTTAGCATAGGCAAAGTGCATAGGAAAATCAGGCTGGCAGGACTGATGGCCCTGGGCACACAGTCAAGGGGAGAGTGTGCCCTTTTACTTGGATGTGACGTACTGTTTACAAAGGACAGGGTCCCTGTGGCCAGCAGAAAGGGGACAGTCAAGGCCAGGACACATGGGACAGAGAGGGAGGAAGAGAAGGAGAGGGAGGGAGAGAGAGAGAGAAGAAAAAGCAAATATCAAGATTTCCCTATCTCACAGGACATGGCCGTATACATCTGTAATCCTAGTGCTCCGGGAGGCTGAGGCAGGATTTCCTAAGTTCAAGCCTAGCCCGGGCAAAATAGCTATTGAACGAGACCCTCTCTCAAAATAAAGAGGGCCTGGGGATGTGGCTGAGCGCAGAGGTGATTTCTCTCAGCGGGAGTCAAGCACCTTCTGTTCTGTGCAGGAGCTCGAGGCATTCCTGGGCCATTTACTGAGCTTGGTTAGGGACTGTGCTGGCCTTGAGGTATCCTGACGAACACGCTGTCCCTGCCCACACAGAGGCTACCGAGGACGAGGCAGGTGTCCGTCCAGTCTCCCTGGGCTTTGGGAAGCAGAAGCGACCTCGCACACTTGTTGGAAGAGTACTGGAGGCTCTTGGAGAACTCGCAGAGAAGAAGGGAGCGGGAGAGCTTGGGGCCCCCAGCAGCCTGCTAACCGTCCCCTTTCACAGTGCTATTCTTAGCTAGAAGGGGTTTCTGTCTGACTCATTTCCAGAGCCAGAGGGAGTGTCGGAGTGGCTTACGCAGCAGTCGGACGTGGTGGGCCCATTCTTGTGAATGGGGTTTCCTAAGAGGGGCAGAAGAGGAGAATCTGGACCCTCTCTGTTTATGGACGAGGAAGTAGCTGAGTGGCCAGAAACGACAGCACAGTGTCACTGTGTCCTCAGCGCCATGCTGGGGAGACATGGAATTGGGTGGGAGTCTTGTCAAGACAGTCAGCAGGCAAGGGTTAGAAACCCAGCTTCACCAGCTTAGGAAACAAAGGGAATTTATCAAAAGGCTCACACTGAGAAGGGTGAAGGGTAGGTGGACCCAGGGTCACTGGGACCAGCAATTCTGATGCTACTAAGTCTTTCTTTTTTTTAGGTTTTTGGTACCAGAAATGAAACTCAGGACCCTGCGTTGGGCTTGCCAGTCAGGTGTTTATGCTGCTGAGCTAATATCCCCAGCCCTCTTTTTTAGCTTTTTCTCAGTCTCTCATCTCTGCTTCTATGTTGTCAATATCTTAATATCTTTTTTTGCTGTTGTTATTTGGGATTAACCCAGGGATTTTACATTCAGCTACATCCCTAGCCATTATTATTATTATTTTTTAAACTTTGAGATAGATTCTCACCAAGTCACTAAGTTTCCCAGGCTAAGTTTGAATTTGAGATCCTCCTGCTTCAGCCTCCCAGAGTGCTGCAATTACAGGCATGCACTGCCACGCCCAGCCAGTGTGTTGTTAAGATCTTTCTGTTCTAGA